ACAATAAGATGAGAAAAATATACTAAAGCATAGATTTTTGAAATCTATGCATAAGCTCACATATAGTCTAAGAAGAAGGTGGACCGTTTTGCCTCGTCAGTTGGATTGGATTAATTAGCGACTAATGTAACTAGGAAAAAAAACTTATTTGTTTCATTATGGTTAGTATTTAGATTATTATGGATTTTGATGACAATTTCGATCATAATTTTTTCTTTATATTTTCTTCTTGGGTCATTCAAAAATCATCTCTAATTTTTTTTTTAACATTGGAGAGGAATACAAACAAAGTATCTTTAAAAAACCCCCTTAATCCATCTGCCTCATCTTTAATGAAGTTGATCATAAAAAGATTAGTCTGGGTCTGGAATGGATCCAGGTCCCTTTCACATGTCTTATTTTTTGTCTAGTGATTAATTTTTCTGTTCCTTATTGTTATTTTAACAATAAAAATTGAAGTTGGACAATAATACAATTTGAAGAGAAAGATGAAGCAAAATAAAATCCAGGCATAGTGGATATATATAGTTTCGAATAGAAGTCAAGATAATAGTGTTATTGATTGGTATTGAACAATATAGTGAAAGTGATGGCAATCTAATAATATTAAAAACCAATGTTTTAATTTTTCAGACAAATATCCAAACATGACACCAAATTGTCTCTTCGATTGAGGATAAATCGAACAGATCAGTAGATACGTTTGAAGTAATTATCTGAAACATTTTATCCTAAGGCATATTTATTTTGTTCTTACAAAATATAAAATATTCAACAAAAAACCACTAGCTAATTGTATAATACCAATTGGAAATTAAATCAATTTGAAATTTCATGTTTGTGGAGTTATCAGTCTAATTTTGTCCCTTTTGGCTTTATTTCAACACAGTATTTTCAATTGGAACTGTTCTTTCTCGTATAATAGTGTTTATATTTCAATTGGAACCGTTTCTTTCTCATATAATAGTGTTTATATAAAGAAGCAATCACCAAGTAAAATTTTTAATTTTGTTTTTTAATAATTGATTTCAACAAATTTAATGGATGTGTAAGAATATCAATGGGTATAATACGAGACGAGTATACCATTTCCTATCTTCATCCTCAAATTTTATATTATACCAATTTTAATATTTTTATCTAATAGGTATTTCAAATATATCTTCATCTCTATGCTCGTATATATTTAAAGAGTGTGGGTGATCTTGTAACTGTAACTTTTCTAAAAAAATAAAAACCAAATTCTATATTTTGCTTTTTTTTTTATTTTTAAAATTTTCACATTTATGTAATTTTTATAAACATATTAATATATATTTTTAAATAGAAATATATTAATTTTAATTTATCTAAAATAAAATTTTATATTATTTAATAAAAATTTATTTACTAAATATAAATATAAGATACGGATACAGAATATGCACTATATTATCCATCTCTATTCTCGTATTTGATAAAAATTTAAAATCATATATATTTCCATCTTATCCCTAAAATTTAATACTCATTATGTTTCCACTAGGGTAAAAAGTAAAGTTTCCTATCAAGAACGCGTAAAATTGATATTTCTAAATGGATGAGAGAGATAAGTCAAAAATAGAAAAAGAGTTTAATATAATATTTTAGATCTATTAAAATCAATCATTAAAAAAATATAAAACTAACAAATTTTACACTGATATAAGTTAATCTCTTTATATATATATAATATATGATCATTCTTACAATTAAAGGTATAAATGATACATCTATTGAGTTAAGCTCAAGCTCGAGTAACTCGATTTATCAATCGAGCCAAATTCAAGTATCATAATATTTGATTTAAATAGCTGTGAACCTAATCGAACTTTTTTATTTTAATATATTTTTTTTACTATTTAATTAAAAATGAAAAATTTATCCTTATATATATAAATCCTTAACAACACTATTCATACTCATTTAATATTCTAACATTCATATGCCCATTTCTATCTATTTCCTTTTCATTCCCACTCTCTCAATCCTTCTCCAAATCCAGGTGTCCCTATCTTTCCTTTTCTAAAGCCCTCTTAGATTCTCAACAACCACCCATTTCCTTTCTTTCTTACTCTTTTGAGCTTTCATCTTTAAAATTTTCTTCCTTTCCCTATCTGGAGTTTGATTCAACAATCTTTACTCTAGCTAACAATGTCCCTTTTAAGCTAATGGCAATAGTAGCTATTCTCCATCAATAACACCTGGTTTAATTTTAGTAGCAATTCTAGGTACGGTCTCTAAGTTTTTTTTTTTTTCTTTCATTTTGAGTTCATTGGCTTGATTTTTGAAATAGGCCCTTAGAAATTGTTGTTCGATTCTATGCTAAAACTTTTCTTAACTACCTTGTTAACTCTTGATTATTTAAATACACTAATTTCTATAATTTAGCAGTGTTTGTCTGCATAAACAACACTAAATTTAGTGGTGTACACAAATGCCGCTAAGTTAGCAATGTTTTAAGGGAAAATGCTGCTATTTTCTCTAATGCAAATATAGTCAATACTTTAAGTGACATTTTTGACAAACACCATGAATTGTTTAGCAGCATTTATAAACGCTGCTAAAAATAGAAAAAAATGCTACTAAAGATCTATTCTCTTGTAATGTCAATTGTCATTGGCTGATAGTTTTGTAGAAAAATGGTCTAAGTATATAGTAGTCAATTATCATTGAAAAGGAATCAGCTGCTCTATAAGAGGTCAAATGTGGAACCTTTCTAAGATTTGAAAGAAGTTAGTTGCTATATGAAGTAGCCAACTACTCACGTATAAAAAAACGTTCTGTAAGGTGAAAATAGTGGACTACTTTATAAAAGAATCGACTAGCCTACTTGAAAAAGCATTCTGGAAATTAAAAATACAAAGAAATAGTTGATTGCTTTCTTAGTGGAGTCAACTACTTTGCATGAAAATTTACAATATTCAGAAACGTGAAAAATGGTTTTTCTTTGTATGAAAAGTTTAATTATTCAAATGAACACATATGTCTATAATATTTCAAAGAGATATATTTCTAACCAAAAGAAAATGATCTAACCAAAAAGAAGTGATTTTTAATTAGAATATTACAATAAAGAAGTCACAACCTTATGATTCAATCTCTAGAAATAGAGATTGATGTAAGTTCATTTGGACATACAATTCAATTTAGAATTAACTCTATTTTTTCTCTTAATTTTTTCTCAATTAAAGGTAAGTTTCTTTAACATTGTTTGCTATAAAAATCTTTGTTAAAGACAAGGTATTTCCATTCTTACCCAAGAGTATTTAGTGGTATACTTTACTACTACAAAGTAAGAATAAAGAAGGCTTCATTATATCTTGAAGGCATTTTGGTTCACCCTTATTGCATACTATAACTAGTTAAGGTGAAATAAGTCTTAGGGAAAGTGGCATATGTAACACTCCTTGAAGTTATTTCATTTGTATTTGAAGGTCCATATTGTTCAACTCCAACTACGTAACAAAGAGGTTACAATAAGTTAACAAGTTGTCAAGACGTTTATCAAAAAGTTTTTTTTCTTATAAACTTTTACTTTTATATTTTTTTCTAACATAAATATCATCCTTTCCTTCCATAAATTTGAACTTAAGATTTTCAATTTGAAAGTTTAAATTCTAATCCCCTAATATCTCAATTAACATTAAAATGAAAAAGAAAATTTTCATAACTACTAAAATATTTTTTCTTTCTTATCCATTGCCTTTGATCCATTTATCTTTCCCTTACTTTATCATATAAATATATATATATATATATATGTATATATGAAAAAGAATATCCACTTATACTAGTGTAAGAGTTATGCATTTTTTTTATCATTGGATCAAAATTAAATTTATAACACTCACACTTAACCATTTTGATCCATTAGTGCAAGTGAATCCCTCCCCTCACTTTTCTCTATAAATATAGAGAAGGATCAGTTTACATCAATGTAAAACCTTTTAGTTTTACATATTTTTTAACTATTTATTTCAATAGATCCCAAAAATGGTAGAGATAAGTCAAAAAGAGAAAAAGTGAGTTAGTCTCATCTATTAAAATACATGGTTAGAAAAATATGTAAAATTAAAAAATTTTACACTGGTGTAAATTGATCAACACTATTAACTTCCTTTACATTGGTCTACTAGAGTAGACCTGTTCTAAAAATACTGTAAAAAAAAAAGCTAAAATAGCATTTAGCAAACTTAATACAAAGTATGGTGAGATATTGAAAAAATTATTTGATAATAATTTTGTATATTTTTAATAAATAAAAACTAAATAGTCAATTTTGTTAAATTAAATCACAAGTTTTTAAGTGAAAATAATAAATAAGATAAAAATATATTTTTATTAATTATAATAAAAACAAATGAATTCAATAATAAATGGAAAAAAATCTAAAAATATATAATCTTCCTTATAATTTTGTAAATTGTGAGAATGTAAAAAATATTTATTAAATATTCTTTTTTAAAATTAATACTTCTTGAAAAGTTTCGATTTATAATTTCATCTAAAAACTCATATTTGATTTTCACATAAGTTAAAATTTTTAAAATTCATAATTTTTTCATAAGTTGGGCCAAATGATTTCTTTTTTAAAATTAGGCTTTTGTTATAATAAAATACATGAAACTTTTTCAAAAAGTAAAAATAAAATACAAAGATTTAAAAACAATACAATTTTGCAAATCTTTTCTATTCATAAATGTAATTCATAGGGCAACTAATCTTTATAATTTTTCTAAAAAAAAGAAAAAAAATCTCATTCAATATCTTTAAATTAGCAGTACTCATTATAAAAAGATATTAAAGTGGCAAGTCGGTCACATCACCTAAGTTATTTCTTGTTATACAAGTTAGGTTATTACTTGGTTAAATCCGTATAAATAAACCCATGCACTCAGCCTTTGTTTATCAACCCCTAAAGACACGTAAAAGTGCTGTACAAATTTTGGTATCCTTGGCTGATCTTCTGTTTTCTCATTATGGAGGATAATGCATTGATATCAAACGCGACAGAGGCGAAGAAAACAAGAAGAAGCCGAGGTCGTCAGCGAATTGAAATCAAGAAACTGGAAGACAAAAGCAAGCGTCAAGTCACTTTCTCCAAACGTAGAAGAGGGTTGTTCAATAAAGCTAAAGAACTTTCCACATTGTGCGGGGGCAGAAGTTGGTATCCTCACATTATCAAAATCTGGAAGAGTATACACCAACGATAATGTGGAAGTAGTTCTTGATCGATATCTAGCCGAGTCATCTGCTTAGGGTAATTATTCATGGATAAAGCAGAAAGAAGTTAAAGAAGATATTAGTGATGCGTTTTGGTTGGATCAGCCGATTGAGAACATGAGTCTGGTGGAACTGCTGGAATATGCGATGGCGCTTAATGACTTGAAAAAAAACAGAGGCTAGAGTGGAGGAGCTGAGCATTCAAAAATCTACTTGTTTATGGCATTATGTTGCTGATCAGGAATTGAACAAGGCACAGTTCTTACAGCAGTTAATGGTTGGGGGAAATTATGATTGGTGTCGCAACTCTGACAATTTCACTCTTGTTGAGCATCGTCATTGAATTTAATCACTGCATAATTAGAGAATGATTAATTGGTGGATTATATATATTAATTACCTCTTTTAGGTGGAAATTTTGAGAGCTAATACTAATGCATAAGATAACATTTTATCTTTATTTTATTTTTGGCTCTTAGGTTGTACTTTTTAACAGTTTTACATGATTGGAGAGAATAATTTATTGTATTTTACTAACAATTTCCAATTGGCTATCAGGACTTCAAAAAGGACAATAAGATGAGAAAAATATACTAAAGCATAGATTTTTGAAATCTATGCATAAGCTCACATATAGTCTAAGAAGAAGGTGGACCGTTTTGCCTCGTCACTTGGATTGGATTAATTAGCGACTAATGTAACTAGGAAAAAAAACTTAATTGTTTCATTATGGTTAGTATTTAGATTATTATGGATTTTGATGACAATTTCGATCATAATTTTTTCTTTATATTTTCTTCTTGGGTCATTCAAAAATCATCTCTAATTTTTTTTTTTTAACATTGGAGAGGAATACAAACAAAGTATCTTTAAAAAACCCCCTTAATCCATCTGCCTCATCTTTAATGAAGTTGATCATAAAAAGATTAGTCTGGGTCTGGAATGGATCCAGGTCCCTTTCACATGTCTTATTTGTTGTCTAGTGATTAATTTTTCTGTTCCTTATTGTTATTTTAACAATAAAAATTGAAGTTGGACAATAATACAATTTGAAGAGAAAGATGAAGCAAAATAAAATCCAGGCATAGTGGATATATATAGTTTCGAATAGAAGTCAAGATAATAGTGTTATCGATTGGTATTGAACAATATAGTGAAAGTGATGGCAATCTAATAATATTAAAAACCAATGTTTTAATTTTTCAGACAAATATCTAAACATGACACCAAATCGTCTCTTCGATTGAGGATAAATCGAACAGATCAGTAGATACGTCTGAAGTAATTATCTGAAACATTTTATCCTAAGGCATATTTATTTTGTTCCTACAAAATATAAAATATTCAACAAAAACCACTAGCTAATTGTATAATACCAATTGGAAATTAAATCAATTTGAAATTTCATGTTTGTGGAGTTATCAGTCTAATTTGCCCTTTTGGCTTTATTTCAACACAGTATTTTCAATTGGAACTGTTCTTCTCGTATAATAGTGTTTATATTTCAATCGGAACCGTTTCTTTCTCATATAATAGTGTTTATATAAAGAAGGCAATCACCAAGTAAAATTTTTAATTTGTTTTTTAATAATTGATTTCAACAAATTTAATGGATGTGTAAGAATATCAATGGGTATAATACGAGACGAGTATACCATTTCCTATCTTCATCCTCAAATTTTTATATTTATACCAATTTTAATATTTTTATCTAATAGGTATTTCAAATATATCTTCATCTCCATGCTCGTATATATTTAAAGAGTGTGGGTGATCTTGTAACTGTAACTTTTCTAAAAAAATAAAAACCAAATTCTATATTTTGCTTTTTTTTTTTATTTTAAAATTTTCACATTTATGTAATTTTTTATAAACATATTAATATATATTTTTAAATAGAAATATATTAATTTTAATTTATCTAAAATAAAATTTTATATTATTTAATAAAAATTTATTTACTAAATATAAATATAAGATACGGATACAGAATATGTACTATATTATCCATCTCTATTCTCGTATTTGATAAAAAATTTAAAATCATATATATTTCCATCTTTATCCCTAAAATTTAATACTCATTATGTTTCCATTAGGGTAAAAAGTCAAGTTTCCTATCAAGAACGCGTAAAATTGATATTTCTAAATGGATGAGAGAGATAAGTCAAAAATAGAAAAAGAGTTTAATATAATATTTTAGATCTATTAAAATCAATCATTAAAAAAATATAAAACTAACAAATTTTACACTGATATAAGTTAATCTCTTTATATATATATAATATATGATCATTCTTACAATTAGAGGTATAAATGATACATCTATTGAGTTAAGCTCAAGCTCGAGTAACTCGATTTATCAATCGAGCCAAATTCAAGTATCATAATATTTGATTTAAATAGCTGTGAACCTAATCGAGCTTTTTTATTTTAATATATTTTTTTACTATTTAATTAAAAATTAAAAATTTATCCTTATATATATAAATCCTTAACAACACTATTCATACTCATTTAATATTCTAACATTCATATGCCCATTTCTATCTATTTCATTTTCATTCCCACTCTTCCAATCCTTCTCCAAATCCAGGTGTCCCTATCTTTCCTCTTCTAAAGCCCTCTTAGATTCTCAACAACCACCCATTTCCTTTCTTTCTTACTCTTTTGAGCTTTCATCTTTAAAATTTTCTTCCTTTCCCTATCTGGAGTTCGATTCAACAATCTTTACTCTAGCTAACAATGTCCCTTTTAAGCTAATGGCAATAGTAGCTATTCTCCATCAATACACCTGGTTTAATTTTAGTAGCAATTCTAGGTAAGGTCTCTAAGTTTTTTTTTTTTCTTTCATTTTGAGTTCATTGGCTTGATTTTTGAAATAGGCCCTTAGAAATTGTTGTTCGATTCTATGCTAAAACTTTTCTTAACTACCTTGTTAACTCTTGATTATTTAGATTTAATTTGTTAAGTTTTTTTTTTATAATTAATTTGTTAAGGGTAGTTGTCTTGATTAGTTAAATTGGGATTTTGCTATCAATCATGTTAATTTGATTTGTAATTTTGGACTAGATATCAAGATTAATCGAGCTTGAGCTTTATCTCGAGTCGAGCTTAAGCTTGAAAAATAAAATTTTGTCAAGTTTAAATCGAGTTTTGAGTTTGAAATTTTCAATCGAGCTCGAGCATAGCAGTGTATTAGCTTGACTCGACTCGATTACACCCTTACTTGTAAATGGTTTAAGTAAAGCACAAGTTATGGAAAAACAAGAGAATAATGGATTAATCAACACGCATGCAAAATCTATTTTCAATTCTTTTCGACAAACATACATATGCAAAATCTGATATGATCTTATTATTATTTTAAAATTTAAAAAGTTATTTTCTTTTTGTTTGTCACATTTTTTTCATAAATCCAATTCCATTCCAACTTTGCAATCATCAAAATTTTCATTAAACTCTTTACCCCATTCAAAACTTTCACTGACATTTCTTTTAATTGAATTTATCAAAAAGTAAATTTTTATCATTGAAATTAAATTTAATATTTTATCAATATACCACGCGATTGTTAACATTTGGCTGACATTTCATATATGTTTTAAATGTTTGATTCTAATCATAATATTGTTTCATTTTTGTTGTATTTACCATTGTAATCAATTTAAATGATCAAATTATGTTATCAATCTCAGTAATTAAGTAAAAATATAGATTTAGTCTATTTGCAATAATTTCAATATTGACAATACCTTTACTTTTCAAATTTTGGAATTTCAATCAATCATTAATATTTAATTTTTTTTCGTTAAATCCGCTGATGTGGATATTGATCTGTTAACATGACATTAATTTTGATTACATGGCAAATTTCATTGGCTGGTGATTTGGGTTATGATGACATGGATTTTTTTAATTCACATGGCAAAGATGTGAAATTGGGTAGGTAATTTATTACATAATTATGACATAATGGTATTTCCCAAATTCTTATTTATTTTTATCTTTTTTATCTCTTTTTATTCTCTTTTATCTCTCTTTTCACCCTCTAACTTCAAACAAAATCCAAAAATGATAACTTTTTTTCCAGATTTTGACATCAGTCACCTTTTTTGTCACTGTCCACCATCACTACCACCGCTTGTTTGCATCAATTTTCTTTCAAAAACCATCTTTAAACTCCTTTGGACCTTATCTTCATTTTTATAAGACTAGATTTCCTTAAAAACATCTATAAATCAATAGGTCTAGATCTAAAGTTGCAAATTCCTCTTTAATAAATCTCTATAATCAAAACAAAATTTTCAAATCTTCTTGGATATTCTCAAAACCAAAAGAACCTAATCTTATCCCCAAAACCTAAAACCCTAATCTCACTGTTTATGTCGAGTTGCTCGATGAGGCTAAAAACCTAAAATCATAAGGTCAAGGTCGATTAGAAGTAAAGGTTGACATTTTTCGGGTAATTTTGCTCTAACTCTCAAGTCAGTACTCAATAAGAAAGGGAGAATGAAAGAAATCTTAAAAAGAGAGAGAAATAAATTAAATGTTCATACATAGTGTGAAGGGGCTACTTATACTTGTAAAGTGAAAATGTTAGGCTTGTATGCCTTGAGCTTTGAAAGTCAGGTTTAGAGCTAACAACACTAGCTCGACTTGACCTGACAGGTTGAGGTCTAATCAGGAGATGATAAGTCAAGTTGGCCGAGTTAATGTAGATCCTTAGATTTATGGGATTAAATTAAATAATGTCATCATATTTTATGGGATGTATGCAAGGGTTAGGATAGGATAATTTATTTATTTATCAAAATTATCCTTTCTTAAAGTTTATACAATTTAAATTATTAATATAGATTTTATGGGTATATTTAGACTTGTAAGTTTAATCTTATGGATTAAAAATAATCATCTCCACTGGGGGAATATTGAATCATCTTATGCTAAGAGAATGATTAATCATTCTTACAATCTTATCTCTTTGTTTAGATATAAACCAAATATGATATAAAATGATTATTACAAACCAAATATGATATAAAATGATTATTATCCTATCCTCTCTATTATTTTATGTGTCAAACATGACTGAAGGGATGAAAAAGCTTCTTAATGGAGGATTAAATTTTGCAACCCTTGATCCCAATTCTATTCCAAATAAATTTGTAATTATTGTATTGTATGTTTTTGAATTTAGTGAAAGTAGTATATTAAATGCAAAATTCATTACTTAAATAGTAATTTAACTACTTTAACCTGTGCATATAGACCTAAAAAGTTATTATTTAATTACAATAAAATATCTATCTATCTTATAAATAAAAGTTAACTATGTGGTCT